GTTCATATGTAAATAATGTAAATATTTTTTTGGGTTAAGTCTTTAGAAAAACTTAAGATTTTATTGTTAACTAAGAACTGAATAACAATAATAACATTTACTAACGTCACAAATACAAAGACATTTTAAAATTACAAAAACACGTTAGAATTAAACACATTATAAGGCGCATTTACTTCAAAAGTGTTCTAAATCAAGATTAGAGTTTTTTTGAATTGGTTGAGTAGTTAGTTAGTTTGAAAGGTTGGATGTATGTTACATCAAATTCGAAGAAATACATCTAAGCCTCCTTTGGGCATTTTGTGCGATCCTTTTCCAATGTCTCAGGTGGGAATCGCACCCACGACTTTCGGTCTAACAGACCAGAACATTAACCACTAACTCACCCAAGGTACACAATAGGACAAGTTGAAGTCATTGAAAAAGCAAAAAATTTTGTGAAATTTTAGATTCAATTAAGTTTAAACCCTATGATTTGTTTAAGTTATTTAGAAAACGATTTTATTTTGAAACTAGTTTCATTTGACTTAATACTTTCTTCATAAAAACTAGTGATAAGTTCGCATTTATGTTGCTTTTTTTTCATGAGATATTTAATTTTTACGTAGTTTAGAGTTTTATCATTTTTGTTGTTGTTGTTTCTACCAGATTTGTTGTATTTTTTGTTTCTCTCTCATATTTGTCTTAAAATCAGACAAGAAAAAGGTGATGTCATACCAACAGTGATTTTTCAAGTTTTCGTCATTTTTATTGTAGTTGTTGTTAACAAAATTGTTAAGATAAAACCAAAAACAAAAAATATTTATTAAAAAAAAATAACAAACCTTTAGAGAAAACAAGACTAAATAATGTTTTAATTTACTTCAAATTGAAGGCGAAATTTTGTTGTCGTTCTTCTTGTTTTTTTTTGTTTTCTTTAATTTTTTTGTTAATTCTTTTTAAAGACATAACCCCTTATTATTTTGATTTATTTTTAAGTAAATAATAAAAACGCAACAACAACCACAATTATAAAGAAATATAATTCATTTGTTTATAAAGTTTTAAAAAGTAACAAATTAATGTTTTTTTTTTGTTTTTGCAGCAAAATTAACAAATTGTTGTAAATACCGAATGTTTAAGTTTCATTTTGTTTTGCAGGTTTTGAGGAAAGAAGACAGTATTGGCTTAGGAAGTTGCGTTCAACTCTGATTAGTCTGGGAGAACTAACAAACAATATTGCCTACAGAACTCCCAAACCATCACGAGTAGACATTTCCGTAAGCTTAGCTACATGCCAGAAGACTATATGTTCCAAAAAATGACTTCTGCAGAAGCTGTCAGTATGAAGAGGAATATATCAATTGTGAGGAAGAGTAAGTAACATCTTCCTCTTCATCCTGACAGGTTCTGCAGAAGTAATTTTTTTTTAAAGATTTAGTCTTCTTAAGTTTGACACGCTAGGTAACCATTTTCTATATGAATTGAAGAACTTTTCCGATGAACACCTAAAGTATAAACTATTTCATTCGTAGGACAATGTTGTAAATTGAACAATTATTATTCTATATAGTATGTACATTTATGGAAATATCAAAAATAACTCACTTCTGAACTGTCTGTCAGCGGAAGACTTGCTATAATCTAATTTACAAAAGAAACATAAAATAGTTAACACAATATAAACAATTGTATTTTAATTAACATTTATTTTTCTAGTAAACACATCAAGCTTTCTAAATGCCAACTTTTACAACCTTAAAGTAAAATCACAAAATATTTAGCAATGGAAATGGTGTTTTTAGCACTAGAGCAATCAATATTAACAGTATAATACTGTTCAAAACAATAATAGTTGTGTTTTGTTGCTATCAATGAGTGTTAACGCTTAAAGTTAGCAACAAAACGAACATTACCTGACTTGGCATCACTCCACAGAAGAAATCTGCTAAATCTTAAAATTATTTACATTTTCTTAAAAAAGGTTTTTTTATTTGATATTTTTTTTTGATTTAAATTTTATTTTAAAATATTTTTTTATTGTTTGACATAAACACATTAATATTTGTATTTTTATTTTTGAATTGGTAGCACTTTTATCGACGTTAAAATTAACTTGTATAATTTTACACGTTAACTCCTAACGTTTATAAATTTTAAATTTATATGAAATTGCCTTTGAACGTTAGCAACAAAACACAACTAATAACAATAATTTAGATAAAAGTTCAATAGATGATAAATATTATTTTAAATTGATTGACTGTTATGATACTACACATACATACATATACTTTTCGCCACTTTAAATGATTTGAATGACCATGATGGCAAATCATTGAAGGTGTGGAATAAAATTAAAAAAAAAAACAATTGCTTTGGAAAATCCTTAACAGAGCGATTTCAATTATATGAAAAAACAATAAACAATAATAAACAATAAAAAATAACAATTGGATTTATTGTGTCATAGTGTCTGTCGGTTGGCCTGATCGTTTTGTACTGGAAATCTTTTAAATTGCTGCAATTTAAATAAAATAACAACCAGAGGAAAAAATTAAACATAAATCCAGTTGATTTGTTATTTAATTTATAAACAACAACAACAACCAAATAATAATAAATGATGCTATGACATCATCATATATAAACTAAAACTAAAGGCATCTTCGTCACCAACATGATTGTGTGATCATGAACATTGTCATTATTATCATCATCATTGAGTTTTTTATATGATTGTGCACCCGCTATAAAATGGGTGAAACATTTGTTTTGTTGATGCTGCAACTTTTTGTTCAAGTTTAACAATAATAATAAATCCTTGAGACAGTAAAAGTTATAAAAGTGCAACTTGTTTTCTTATACGATGTGTTTTTTGTTTCTTAAACCCCAAAGAAGTTTTATTTTGGTAATTGAGGTCTTTATTTTTCTTTTCTTTTTCCTTTAATGACTCTTTTTGCCAGCATTTTTTAAACAACATATGGTGGTTATGATGGAGAACAGAAAACTCCAAAAAGCTTGAATAAGTCATTATATATATGCAATTTATATAGTAGTGAGGCTTTTATAATCTTGTTGAATTTCGAAAAGTGTGGTTCGGTATAAAATACAAACGCTTAAAACTTTAATCAGGTCGGAAAGTGCCAATACGGGCCGAACCAATTAAATTTAAGTAATAAGAAGTTTCATTGGTTCGCAAATAATTTTGAAAGCGGAAAATGAAAAGAAAAATCATTCTGTTCATCTTGCAATATTCTGAAATTGATATGACATTGCAGATATTAGGTTATGTTAGGTTCTATTGGCAGATAATCCATGAGCAGCTCACTATGGTGCATTTATTTTCTTATACCATTGCGATACCCTGGAGATTTTAGGAGCCTGTATCTAGAGGTTGTAGGAGTCTGTGCTATTAGTTACTATTAGTATTACTCACTGCTTCTAGAATTAAACCTTCAGGTTATGTTTATAAAGATGAGAATATGATTAAAATTTATCCTAAATAGTTCATGTATATCTGACAGAATAGGAATACTAAAGTAACGTTCTCTATTCTCGATAAATGTCGGCAGTAGCAGATTAGATGGAACACTGTCTTATCTTCCTCTCCAATATGACAGATTCTCGAGAGGTCATTGTATTCACAACATAGTCTTCTGGCATGAATGCCAAGTATGACACAGTGTCCTGTAATTGCTGATATCAGCATTCTTATCTGATCTCCGTGGAGCTATTATCTTCTCTCTGAGAGCATCATATAGAGGCTAGCTAGATCTAGATACATATTATCGTTTAGTATGTAATATTTATGTCCTAAATAAAATCCTATAAAGCTTTTGCAATTTATTTAAAAAAATCTCAAAATATTTATAAATCTTAGAAATAGGGAAAAATAGTTTGGTATTGCACTTCGAAACTAGTGGAAGCGTTATCGCGTACAAACTCGTTCTATAGAACTATTTTGGAACCAGCTCTTTAAGCAATGATTTTTGTTCGAACTTGTCAACCTCATAACTTTTTCTAAAAAAGTTTTTGAGAACATATAAACCTTCTTCTAGGAGCTCTAGAACTAGTTCTATTTTAATGAATTTTTATTTAAAAAATTACCACCCTACTTTTAAATTATTCAACGATTTTGTTAAAAAAAAAAAAAAAACTATATGTAAATGAATCGTACATAAGTGATGCAATTTTTAAGATTTCAATCATGAAATGGAGAAAAAAATAATATACAAAAATAACTGGCTGTATATTGAAATAATTGTAATTGTAATTTATACATGTAGCATTGTGTACGGTGTAGGTGTTTGTTGCGCATGCGCGTAGACAATGTGTGTCAGCAGAACATAACAAATGTTGCTGGTTGGTTCGTTTGTTTGATTATTTATTCGTCCGATACAAGTTGTTGTTAGTAGATGCTGTTACTTGGCGTTGTCGTTGTTATTGAGTGTTGTTACTGGAGTTGCTGTTGCCGCCACCTACCTGCCATATTTGGCTTTTTACTGGTATGACAACAATCGATATTAAAACAACGCATTTAATCGCAAAAGTAATCAAAGAAAACAAATACATAAATATTACAGCAGAACAACTAAAATCGAAGAATAGAATCGAGGTTGTTTGTTTGAGCTAATATTTGGCCAGAGTTTTTAGTTCAGTTTTTTTTTTTGGATTATGTGGGCAGTAGATAGATAGAGTATTGATGTTGAAATAGCTCCTACTCTTAAAAATTCTATGAAAATAAACGCTTACACCATGGTCGCGTTTTTAGTTTTTAAATGACATGACGTGTAAAATATATATAAATACCAAATTAAAAACTATTAAATATTTGAAATTGAAAGTATAATAAATTAGCAATAATAGCGTAGGAAATCCAGTATGTAATATGTTAATGTAGACATTCGTACTTCCTATGCATTCTAGCTGCAAATGAAACTTTTTTTAAAATTTGGTTTTAGCCTTTACACACACGCCCACTTTTTATGTTTGTTTTTGTAACTAAGATTAAAACATACCTGGAAGTGTAAAATAATTGTCCAGATCAAACCGAGTGTTAATTTTGGATTACCATCCACAATATCTTCTGCTCTTATATTCACTAATTTGATTTTTTTATAGCGTAGAAAATCTAAAGCCATTTGTGCATTTTGTATCATATGGAAACGCATTTTTCCCTTTTCTCTTGGCTGAAATAAAAAAATACAAATTAATTTTATATTTTCTAGGCATTAAAAAAACAACAACTTACCAAGTGTTCGCCAGATAGCACTTCCAAGAGTGAGAGCAAATTGTGTCCATCTCGTAAATCTTCAAATAAGTCTTCAACACGTCTATTGGCCTGTTTTTTTGTAGTAGTTGTTTAAGTTTTTGACCGAAATTTTAAACAAATTGTGAGTTGAATTTATAATATTGTTTAGGAAATGAAAAAAAAGAAAATAAAATAAAAACAAAATATTAAATAAAGTTTTTAAAAAAAGTAAAAGTTTTTGAAAAAATACAAATATTTCAAACATGCAAAATAAAAAATAAAACAAATTTAAAGTCTTGTGGCGTTTATTTTGTATTTAATTTGCGAGAGCAACTTTTTATGCATTGTAACAGAAAATAATAATAAAAAATTAACAACAAAAAAAACTAAAATAAAAAAGAATTTAATTTTTAATATTTTGCATTTGTTAGCAACATTTTTAGCATTTTATAATTAAAATCTAAAGCTTTCTATTTCAAAACGGAAGCATTTTATGAAACTGGAAAAATTATAAATCATTTGCATTTTTTTAATTTATTAAATTATTTTTCTTTTAGTTTGAATTTAACATTTGGGAAGTTTCTTTAAAATAATAATTAAGTTAACAGGTAGAGTGAATTTTAATATTTACATTTATATAAGAAGAATATTAATGAATGTTTTTAGATTTCAAGTAAAAATTGTGTCTGGTTACTCTTTGTGGCGACCACTGATTTACACCCAAAACATTTTGATCTCATCATGAGAAAGCTAAAAAAATGAACTAGAAATGAAATAGAACAGAACTAGAACAAAACTAGAACTGAACTAGAACTAGAACAGAACTAACATAGAACTAGAACAAGAACAGAACTAACACAGAACTAGAACAGAACTAAATCAGAACTAGAACAGAACTAGTACAGAACTAGAATAGAACCAGAACAGAACTAGAACAGAACTAGAACTGAACTAGAACTGAACTAGAACAGAACTAGAACAGAACTAGAACAGAACTAGAACTAGAACAGAACTAGAACAGAACTAGAACTGAACTAGAACTGAACTAGAACTGAACTAGAACTGAACTAGAACTGAACTAGAACTGAACTAGAACTGAACTAGAACTGAACTAGAACTGAACTAGAACTGAACTAGAACTAAACTAGAACTGAACTAGAACTGAACTAGAACTGAACTAGAACAAAACTAGAACAAAACTAGAACAGAACTAGAACAGAACAAGAACTGAACTAGAACTGAACGAGAACTAAACTAGAACAGAACTAGAACTGAACTAGTACTGCACTAGAACAGAACTAGGACTAGAACAGAACTAGAACAGAACTAGAACAGACTAGAACCTAACTATAACAGAACTAGAACTGAACTAGAACTGAACTAGAACAGAACTAGAACAGAGCTAGAACAGAACTAGAACAGAACTAGAACAGAACTAGAACAAACTAGAACAGAACTAAAACAGAACTAGAACAGAACTAGAACTGAACTAGAACATAAGTAGAACAGAATTAGAACTGAACTAGAACTGAACTAGAACTGAACTAGAACTGAACTAGAACTGAACTAGAACTGAACTAGAACTGAACTAGAACTGAACTAGAACTGAACTAGAACTGAACTAGAACTGAACTAGAACTGAACTAGAACTGAACTAGAACTGAACTAGAACTGAACTAGAACTGAACTAGAACTGAACTAGAACTGAACTAGAACTGAACTAGAACTGAACTAGAACTGAACTAAAACTGAACTAGAACTGAACTAGAACTGAACTAAAACCAAACTGAACTAAAACCGAATTGAACTAGAACTGAACTAGAACTGAACTAGAACTGAACTAGAACTGAACTAGAACTGAACTAGAACTGAACTGAACTGAACTAGAACTGAACTAGAACTGAACTAGAACTGAACTAGAACTGAACTAGAACTGAACTAGAACTAAGCTAGAACTGAATTAGAACTGAACTAGAACTGTACTAGTACTGAACTAGAACTAAACTATAACTAAACTAGAATAACCCTCGAACTAAAACTGAACTCAAACTAAACCTTTCTCTGTGAAAGACTGTAAGGTAGCTAGATTTTTGAATTTCGGTCTGTGGGCGGGAAATTCTCAATTGGCTAAGAATATTTGAAGCATAAGTTGTTATAAATTTGTAGAGATTTAAAGATATAAACTCTGATATTTTGTTTTACTGTTAAGGTTTTTTAGAAAGTAAGAACTGTTAGAATCAGAATGATGAATGAGAAAATATTCAAATATTTTGGAAAATACTATAAATTACTTCAAGCTTTGGTTGATTTTTCAGATCTGTCAGTATCTAAAAATTATGCACTTTAAGCTTGATTATTTCGAAAATAGCAGTTTTGCAATAGCAATTAAAAAAAAAAAAACAAAATGACAAATTAAATTTTTAGAAAATTATAACAAAACATTAAAATTTTAATTAAAATTAAAAAAAAAAAAAGGAAAAATTCCTTTTTTGCTAGAGAAAAGTTAAAAGCAGCCTTTTTGAACTTACGGCAGACTGTGGACAACAGGGAGCCCCATTTGTGTAAACACAAACATGTAACATTGTGTAGGTCTGGAATTTAATTTAATGTTTATTTTACAGAGAAAACAAATTTAAGCAATTAAACAATAATTAAGAAAATTTTTTAGAAAAAATTTCTATTTTACAAAATTTACTTAAAAAAATTATAATACACAATACCTTGGCATATTTCCAATGCTGCATAATTATTAAGGGGTTTTTAGAAAAAAGCATAAAAATTAATTATTAATGAGGAAAAAGGGAAATGTATTACAATTATTATTATAATCAAGCGGCGTCTAATATTGGGTAACTTATAAAGATTAGTAGGCATTTATTTCAAAATTTTTCATTTTAGCAAAAGGCAAATATTAAAATTTCTTTTTAAAAAATAAAAGTTAATAGCAGTAATCTTAAAAGGATTGAAACTTTAAAAATTACCCAATATATAACTACATTTAAATATTTAAAAAAAAAACTAAAAAATACAATTGTCATTTTAAAGTAAAAGTACAACTTTTACATTATTTTGTTTTCTTTTTTTTAAGGAAAATTATAATGATACAACAAAATACATTTCACATCATTAGAGAAAGTATGATTTTTGTAAAATGGCAGAGCTAGTAAATGGTATGTAACTACCATACAATATTTTGGCCTTAAGTACTTATCAAAATCATTATTATTTTCAATTTTGGTTTATTTTTTATTTTCATTTCAATTATAATAAAAATCGTACACAATTAAATTTGAATTGTGTGTTTTTATTTTCGCTCTTCTTTTGTATAGAAAAATACTTTACCTTTTTAAGATGTTTGTTGACCCATTTTGTGAATGTTTTCTTTTGAATGGCATCGCGTTCATCTAGACAAAAATAATGAAAATAAATGAAATTATTTGATTAGTATGTTTTAAATTAATTGAATTTAATCAAAATTTATTAAACAATAAACACAACATTTTAGCAAATCATTCCAAAAAAAACAAACCACATGCAATATTTCTGATGAAAGAGGAGGCAGGTTAGGGGGAACTCACTCACGCACTTTTATGTACACACATAAATAAGGAGCCATAATTTTACTTAATTATTATTTATTACCCTGACCATATGATCAGCTTTCATGGGTTAATTGTTATAAATATATCAGTCAATTTTTGTCAATTACTTTAACAATTGTTTTATTGTCTTTTTATTTGAGTTTATTTTTCAAAATTACTTATATAAAAAAAAATGAATGAAATAAGTAATGAAATCATTGAACGTGACATACATGTACTTGATTTATTTAGATATTTATTGTCATTTAAATGATTTTAATTTTAAATAAAAAAAGGCAAGATTTTTAAGTTATTTTAAGTCGTGTAAACAATGTGCTATGCAAGTGACGTAATTTTATTTAAATCCTTTTTAAACCTCAAGAAAACTTGAATATTTCTTAATATTTTGAAAGATCTTTGCCATAACTTTCATTTGATATACATTTTATCCATATATCGAGCTTAGTTCCCAAGCTATACATATACGAGGTAATCTTAAAAAATCGGGATAATATTCACCCCTATCGCCAATCAACATTTCACTTGAAATATGTTTCCTTTTCACTTTTGTCGTTCACTAACTTTTTGTCGTGAAAAAATTTCCCTGTTGTGAAATTTGTTGATGAAATTTTGTAAACATTGAACAGCTGTTACAGCTTGTGAATGAATTGTTCACAACAAGTTCACGATAGCAATTTTCTCTTCGAGGGGAATGAAAATTTCAAGGAAACAAAAATTTCACTTCTATTGGCGATAGGGGTGATTGTTCTCTTCAACGTTAAATCCCTAAGATATCCGAGGCCTTCTAAAAGTTGAACATAAAGACAGACAGACGGACTATGTCATACATTTTTATTAATAAACTTCATTCATAAAATTTCTTAATTGTTCATATTGTAACACGATAAATACTACAAACATTAATAATTTCCTTTGCAAATATTTCCCAAAAAAACAATAACAATAAAAATAAACAAAGAAATACTTAATCATATAACTGTTAGTTCAAGTTGTGAAAAAATATAAATTAAATTAGAAAAAAAAAACTATAATAAAATAAACAAGGTCGCCAATCAAATAGTCGTTAATTATAGTACAAAAGTCATTTTTAAAAATAAATAAAAATAAAAAAAACTTTCAAAGAAGTTGTTTTTTATATTTCTCTTTTCAAGTGTTTTTCGTTCGACTAATTTTAAATCAATTCAATCATCTTTTTTTCACAATTTGCACATGATTTATATGAAAGTAACAACAAATTAACAGGTATTAATTAAAAATAAAAAGAACGGAAAGAGAATCGATCCATTAAATTTTTTTTATATAAAAAAATTAATAATATAAAACATATAACACGTTTATTTTTATACGAAAGCATATAGTCAACGACTGGCTGCCATTAGGAAAGCAATAGGGGGACTTAAAAGTAACTACTTATAACCGATAGTGGACCAGGCGTATTCCTTTTGATTTAGTATACAACCTCCTAATAATCTAACATAATCTATACATAACATATTCTCAACTAACTAGGAATTATAAGCAATACTTTTTTTACAACAAATTAAAAATGTAATTGAATCAATTACAAATAATTAAATAGTATTAAATGGAACATAGGTCTTTGTATACAAAAAATATATAAAAATTAAACAATAGAGATCTGCAAAGTTAGGTTAGGTTGATAGGAGGATGTATAGTAAAGCAATTCCGAAGAAATACACCTAGGCCACTATCGGGTCTGTTGTGCACTCCTTTCCATTTTTGTTATTTTTCAATGTTCAGAAACTCAGTTTCATGGACGTAATTCCTAAGAATTTTCCAATCAGTGTTAGTCAGGAATGTTATTTCCGGAATAACATCACTTCCAAGATACTTAGATCTAACTTCGACGAATGCCTGACAGTGGCAATGAAAGTGCTTCAAAGTTTCACTGTCCTCTCCACATGCTCTACATTCGCCTAAATCCGCGCAGCCAATTCTGTATAGATGTGCTCGTAATGCTGTGTGTCCACACAGAATACGTACCATAATACTAACTTCAAACTTGCTAATTTTAAGAAGATTTCTCGTGTTGTTCTTATCAGGGTCACCCCATAGGATCTTTGTGGTTCTACCCACCGTTTCATTATTCCAAGAGGCGTTATGAGATTCTCTCACCCATATTTTTAATTCAGCTTTTTTTACGTCGAAAGGTTTTGTGTTCGTCAGATTAACTACCTCAAGCTCCCTTCCCTTTATAGCTATTACGACTACTCCCGAATGGCCTGCTACCCATATGATGTAAACCTTACCTCTGGGAGAGTATTCAGTTAAAGCTTTCTTACAATCCAATTCGGTCTTAGATCTAATTTTATCACCAGATATCGTCCTAATTGCCTTCTGGCTGTCGGTAAATATATTAAGGGCTATGGGCGCCATATTTATTCTATTCTTGCTCGGACTTCTGCCCCAATTTAGAGCCATCCATGTAAAAACGGATTCCTACTGGTATTTGCTCTAGTTTTTTCCGCGTGACCAAGACATTCTATCTGGGATCAGAGTTTCAAAGTTTCCGACATATTCTGTGTCTGATATGAGATCAGGCAAGTCCGATGATTGTGTATAACCTTCCAATGTGTCCAGTAAACATTGATGACGTGGAGGAATATCTAGCAACGTTTCCAGAGCTTTAGTTTTGTAGTACTACACATGGCACCACTTATACCCAAGAAGCATGTACGCTGAACTCCCTGTAGTAGTTTGATATAACACTTTTTGTCCAAAGCAGTCTACCAGGTTATTGAAGCATAAGCTAGAATTGGTCTAAATACAATTTTATAAAGCCAATTTTTCACAGTAGGACTAAGACTTAAATATGCTTTGGTTGAAGTAGTAAACATGGCACCACTTATACCCAAGCAGCATGTACGCTGAATTCCCTGTAGTAGTAGTAGTAGTAGTGGTCTAATTACACTTTTAAAAAGCCAATTTATCATAGAAGGACGAAGACCCCATCTGCTAAGTAACTAGTAATATGTATAAAATTCTCAACTAACTGAGAATTATAAGCAGTTATTTTTTAATCAAAGTACAAAAAAGTTATTGATGCTACAATAAGAATTGAAGACAATTATAAAATCTATTTAAATAAAAATATCCCTTTTCTTAGAACTTTCGTCTTTATACCAGAAAAAGTTAATTTTACGTTTTATAGAAACCAAAACAACCACAAATAATTTAATCACTTTCAACTGCTATATTTACTTATGATTGAATGATTAGTTGTAGAACGACTTTTTAATATTGTGAATAATTTGTTTCTTTTTTATTATTGATTATAATATTCCTTTCTTTGTTATTTTTATATATGAGAGCAATTAAATGATTTCGTCATTTTATTTCTAAAGTGCAAATTTTAAAAAGTTGAAATATTATAATGCAATATTTAGGAAATTACACTGCTTAACAAAAATTAAACTTTTGCTAAGAAAAATTCTTCGCAAAAAGCTAAAATGTAAATAAATATTGAAGATCTATAGTATCGGGGACGGATTTGCTGCATTCATAATAGAATGATGTTTTGTATCAAAAAGGAATTTTCAGCCATTATTTCAAACAAAAATTAGTTAGAATAATATTATTCGATCATTGCGGATCGGTGTTATGTAGGGTGTTCAAGGGCATGGTAATGCACCCGAGAACATGGAAGAGACATACATATAATTTTTTATCCATTATAGGTTAAAGAAAATTCAAAATATTTTGAACTAAAAAAAGATCGAAAAGAGCATCAAAAATTTCAAATTTCGTACTGATCAAGGAAAACAAATTTTATATCACAGACGAATGATCTACATATATACCTCCAGTTGACATGAATTCGAGATATAAAAAGCCACAGATTCTTAGCTTTCATGAAACTAGACGTTTGCTATCGGTCCCTGTTGGCTTTGATTGCCGATCACTGCTGACAAAGTACGCTGCAAACTATATGATTCATAATCTTTAAAACAAATTCTGATAAAACAGTTTATTTATTTATTTTTACTCTTGAAAACGTATGCACTTGAAAAAAAAAACACAAATACATTATAAACTATTGGCCTTTTAAAGAGCAAGAGTAGAACAGTCAATCAATAATAACAGCGAAAAGCTCCCATCAACATTTCTCCGACAATTCCATTTTCATTAAATGAATAAATACTTCAAATAGTAATTGCCAGTAACGATTACTCATTGACTATAGAATAATAGCTAATGACTTGTAGTACAAAACAATTCATTAGCTGAAAACAAAGCATTAAGAAGCGATAACTGGTTATGAAAAGCTAAACAAATCCCTAATAACTTTTGCCTTAAAAGGTAAAAAAAATAAATTAAAATTATAAACAATTAACTTAAAAAGAGAGATATAAATACTTATACAAAAATTAGATTAGAGACGACTAAACCTTGCATAATAAATTAAATGCAATATTTCTATTTGAAAGAAAAAAGTTGATATATGGTTAACATTAATAGATTCGATTTAGAAATCTAAGCATCTAACAATAATAACTAGTCGAATCTGTTTAATTTTAAGATCTGGTTTTAAGATTTTCTATAATTGCTTAAATTTATTACTTTAATTTAATTGTTAACAATTTGTTTAAAAAACCAAAAGAGTGGGTTGGTTGATAGCGTGCCATAAAACTTTTTTAAAATTTATGCCAGCAAAGTTGTGGAAAACTTTACTGGCAATTAACTAAGACAACAGTTGTTGCTAAGTTTTTTCTTTTGACGGATCAGTTAAATCAAATTAGCCGTAATACAAACACACACACAAGCATTCAAATGAGTTTGTA